TTCCCTACAATGCTATGTGTTAAAATAATATCTGCTATTAAAAAAATTAACTTGCAATGTATCTGCTGATAACTCATTTTTGTAATGCATTTCAGGGAGATAGAGTAATTCTTCTTAAGCGAGTTGATCAAAACTGGTATGAAGGTAAAATACCAGGAACCAACAGACAAGGCATCTTCCCTGTTTCCTATGTAGAAGTCATCAAAAAGAATGTCTCAAAAAATGTTGATGACTACCCTGATCCTCCGATACCCCAAAGCTATTCTAGTGACAGAATACACCATTTAAGTTCATCTAAGGTAAGGATTCTTTTTGCTATCACCCCTAGAGAGGGTTTAGAAGGACTTGTCATTGTTTTGTTAACATAAGATTATACATAATTTATGCATTAAGTACACTACATTTTCTTTCCTGCATAGGTAGAATTGCATTAATAACTTGTTCTTGAAGTATTTTAATATCTTCATTACCTACTACACTATTGAGAGTAGGACCAGGCAAAATTTGGGCAGAAAAATCAAGCAATCAGAACAAAATTTATTTGAGAATCTTGGATGGAATTTGAGCAGTAAAGATAGTCCAGTAGACTTTTCATAATACAGCGTCCAGATATTCCCATAACATAGCTGTCCTAAAAGCCTGCAGTCCCATAAACATGCAAAAGGCAAGAGAGGGCAACCTGCATGTGGACACAGCTTGCCAAGACTAGTCCCATGCCTTTCAAAGGGAGAACAGCTAATGATTCTGTTACTATAACCTCCCTCCTTTTGCCATACACGCTTTAGGAGGCTGTTGGTACAACAGAGGTTCTTTGGAGTGTTACGACAACAGTGACAGTATTGCTTCACTTAGTAGTGAGGCAAATATCATCACATTGCCAATGAGCCTGGATTCAGACCTTTACAGTTGTACTTCTTCATACCAAATGTCTGTCATAGGTTCCAAATTCTTTTCCTTACTAGTCTACATAACCACCACAAATCATACTACGTGATGTTGCAAAAAGATTTCTGTATTCCTATTCCGATTTATCATTCACTCCTGAGATTTCACAGTCACCTGTCCAGGGGACATAACCTCTTTGGCAGTGACAGAAACTAAGGAAGTTTCTGCATGCAAACTGTCATTAGCATTAATGTATTATCGACAATTTTGAATGCTCAAAATGGAAACTCCTACATCTTTCTCTTTATCTTTGTTCCTTATGTCTTCAGCATGCGCAGAAGGTTTTGTGTATAATTATAAACTTCGTATCCTGCTATTGACGTCTATCTGTTCCAGTTGGTTTTGCCCCCTTTTCTACTTTAATATACTTGCATACTGGTGCTCATTTATATTCTTCAACTTTCAGATAAGGTCACACTTATTTGCAGCTTTGGGGACAGCTACCAAAAAATGTCATTTATAGACAGCAGCGACCTCTGAAAATACTTCTTATGACTAAGAAATATTAGGTGGTTTTGGGTAGCTGCTAGAACAGATCTTGTCTGGTTCCCCAGAATGTGTCACAATAAAGCTAGGTCCTCTCTCTTCCATTCTAACAAAATTGTTGAATTGAAGCAACATCAAATTATGTAGCTATGGACTGAGTTATTCATAAGCTAGGGTTCCTTATTACAGGAATATAGAGGTTTCTGAAGGCAATTCAAGAGTATGAGGCAACTTAGGTCCTCCATATTACAGAGCTGTCTCTCTATTTTGAGATGCTGCACTCTTCATTTTCTATAGAGCAGGCTTCTCTCTAAGGCATCCTGCAGCTAAAGCTGGTGTTTGTGTAACCCCTATAGCCCTTGTTGGGGATAGGTGACGCTTCAGAGCATTTACATTCCGATTACAAAACTGTCCTGCCACTATTATTAAGTTATTTGTTATTAAATTAGTTCTGTAGGAGAGGAAAGTGGAAGAAGCCGCCTTTGTAACACAGGAAGCTTTTGCAATCATCTGATTCTAGCATAAGAAAAAAGTGTCTCTACTGACACTCTGAAATAGACATCTTATTTCTTAATTCAACTGTGTTCAGAAATGGCAATAACATGTAAGATGACATCTTGTTCCTGACTACCCAAGGACTTTAGCAGTCCTGAATGTGTTCTGGAGTTTACCACAATTACTGATACCACTTTTCCTATCCCTTTGGGGCTTTTTAGCACATACCACTCCTGGTTGCTAGAGCAATTGTGCAAAAATTCTCTGTCTTAATGGCAATAAAAATAAATAAGCAATGTAAGCCAGGAGCACCTGGTCTAGTGGGAGGTGTCCCTGCCTGTGGCAGGGGGGTTGGAACTAGATGATCTTTAAGGTCTCTTCCAACCCAAACCATTCTATGATAGGCCATTTATATCTTTAGCTCCAGTGCAGCCTGTAGCCAGGAGAAACTAAAAATGGCAATGTCTCCTTGGCAGTATTATTGACCTTAAAACTGCAGGTTAGAGGCCCTTGTTCAAGAGGAAAGATGAGGGAAAGA